AAAAATACTCCCGAGGTGCAAGGTTAGCTCTGTTTGTACGGACTACGGACTAGTTGCTCGATGTTTAGGGTTCCGTTGCAACTTGCGTTGGTTTTATCGAATTTAGTTTTAACGCGAATTCGATCAGTAATTGAACACTTTGTGTAACAGGCCTAGTGTTTATTACTGCAATTGCAAATATGACAATTTACACAACTCTTATTTCGTTACTTTAATAAACTTACAATTAATTTGTACACTATCACACATGTTTTTTTTTGTTCTAAACTTTATGTTTACCAAGCGTTTATCAATCAATCAATCATTTTCTATTCTAATCAAATAAACATGACCTGAAAATACATGGAATGTCAAATACCTTTTTTTAATTCAATTTAAGTAAATACGGAACCGTTGTAAAAATCGAAACTTCATTAAAATATTTCTTAGTACCGAACGTCACTTATAAAAGGCTGTTCGGTGAGAAAACAGCGAAGTTGTTATTGAAACGAATTTCAAAATGTTGGTTTGTATAGAGCGGTGCTGAGACCAAAAGGCGCGAAAACTTTATAAAAGAAACTATTATAGCTGACATCAGTCGCGAAATCGTAAAACTATTGAGTCGAACTATTGATTAGTCAATAAAAAACTTAAATAAAATTATATTGAAATTCTACTCCACGGTGCTTGAAAAGAGTTCGTCGTACGTTTTATGACTTGTTTATTATCCCTGCATTATAAAGTTCATAATATCAAGAAATGTAGTACTTGTTTGCACACTCTTGATCCAAAGATACTTCTTAGTTTACTTACTATTTTACTTTGTTTTTAATAACAACGACCGCCGGATGCGGTTGGGGCTTGTGAGAGGAAGAGTCATTGGTAAATCTGCGTACGGCTAGTTACCAAACATAACAAATGTCTTCCGAAAAAGCAAGACTACTAAAACTGCATAAAAACATGGAAAATATGAATAAAACTTAGAAATATGGCACATCAACACGTAGACAAAAATCTTCAGTCAGCAGATACAAGCTTAGTTACAAAATCAAAGTAAACTTTAAAACTCGTTCACAAAAGGATTAATAAAATAGAAATAATAGAGAACATCCGCCTATGAGTCATTAGAGAAACGGTGTGAACACAATAAAGAGAGATCAAACAAGCTGTAATCCATATTCATGGAGTGGAGCAAGGCGCTAGCTACCGGCAGTGTCACAGAGCGCGTTATACCTGATGTATCTAACTGGCTCACAATGACCGGGCAATGAGAGCCAAATCAATAAAGATAATACTCTTCTTAACGATACATTGGTAACTAACAAATACAATCAGTGTCTTGTGACACACGGACAACTTTTTTGATGAACTTTATATTCCATACATAACTAATTTAATATGTTAAAATCTATAAATATAAAATAGAATGCAATATTTCACAACTATTGAAATTGTTTCCTGTATTGTAACATAAATTTTTATTGCTACAATTAAAGTATGTACATTCGTTGCTTAATTTAATTCCTATTTTGTAGTTATTTCACGAGAATTTCAATTTCTTCTTATTTTGTTTGATCACTTATAGTTAATATCATCTATAAAATTGTACAGTTCCCCATCGTGCCCGGCCGTGTGTATCCCGTGTTAACGAAATACAAATATTAGTGAGCGCGCGACACAAATGAAGCCTAATGTCTAACGCAAAGTAAAGTTACGTTTGTAACTAAGTGCTTGGACAAAGCGATGTTTAGCGCAGAGCAGCCGATACAGTGGCTGTTGTACCTGCACCCGATACTGTCAACACAACTAGTTAACGACGATTATCCGCCGTGTTTATATGATAATGAGATTAAATGTCTTATTTAAATTTTATTTTGCATTATTACTGACGATTAGCGGCTATCAGCGACCGGAACTGTTTGCTAAAAATCGTCCATAGACGACTGTCAATCAAACTTTTAGGATAACCATACTCGAAAAGATAAATCAATTAGCAAACAAAAGGTAACACAGTAACATATACAGACATGAAATTTAAAAAGTCACTAAAAGGAATCAAGTATAATAGTTTTGATAGTTTACGTAACAAAAAATAATTTAGTGTAGTTTTCATAAATCGTAGCAAAATTGCAAATAATCAAAGAAGAAATATCAGCTGGGAGAGAATACATTACACTACGTTTATTGCAAAACGTTTGACTTCATCGAGCATCGTGCAGTATTTAAGTACACATAAAAGTAAGTTGAAGTCGTACATCGCGTCATTTGAAGGCAGTATCAGGTAGAAGGCCTCGTGAAATGTGTCGCTGTGGTGCAACTTTTGTATGCGACGTGCGAAGAGGGTGTATCGCAAGGCTCACTATTAGGTCCAATGTTATAGTTTTTATTTGTTTCTTTTATTTTTTTAAACACCGCCGGATATCGGTGAGGGATACTGTTTGCATTACTTTATGATTACTAAACGTTTTTCGATTCTCTGTTGTGTTAAATGATTTAATAATGATAAAGAGAATATTGACTTCGATTACCTTCAAACTCTTATGTAAATAAATTACTGACCCAATCCGCCGAGGGAGAGCCATAAACAAGAAATAGAATAGAATGTAAATAAATTTGACTTGAAATATGAACAACGACTAACCTGCACCCGACTCTCCGTCAGTCCGATGCGCATGGCGATCTCCTCTCTCATGAAGATGTCAGGGTAGTGAGTCTTGGAGAAGCAGCGCTCCAGCTCGTTCAGTTGTGCCGGTGTGAACCTACGCCAAAATAGTGTTTTATAGAAGCATTGTGTCACCGACGTACACGAACTGTACGAGTATAAGTCGTGCGTACCTCGTCCGATGCCTCTTCTGCTTGGTGGGCTTGTCGCTGTCGGAGGCGGCGGACGGCATACTGACCGGCACCGTCGCCATGTGCCCCCCGTGGCCCCCGTGCGCTCCGTGCCCACCGTGCGCCCCGTGCCCCCCGTGAGCCCCTGCCGACTGTTGCGACTGTTGCTGAAGCAGCCCGCCTGGTGAACACAAACATTTGTTCACAATCACAAGTTACAGCAAAGTTAATCGTTATGAAATTTTGTTCTTTCGCCGCAATCACCAGTCGCTCGCTCTTTGTTCTGTACCGAAAAGACGACTCGCGTTGACTATTCAATGTTACGGAACGCGCGATATTAGTGTTTGTTCCAGGCGATCTTTGTGCGGCTTACAAAAAGGGACGTTATATTTGAAAGGTCTTTTGTATGTTGCAGGTGTCCGTATTGCTGTGGTTGTGTGATCTGCACGTTTAGATGTGAGCAGCAGAGGTAGGCACTCACCTTGCAGGTGTTCGTTGCGTATGTGTGCGAGGTGCAGGCGCGCCCCCAGCGCATGGTGCGCGCGCTCGCCCTTGCCCTCCAGCTGCTTGTCCTCGCCGCAAGACTCCTTGTGACCTGCAAACACCTGGACTGTAGTGACGTCACACAATGACAAATGTTACATTACATATTTTATCGCCACTTGTTTCTTATACCATTTTATTACGCTTTCTTTTGTTTAACATAAAAGTTAATTGTTTTATTCGGATGTCGATCGGCACAAGTCTATTTTGATGAACAGCTAGTGAGTACTGTCTGATACCATCTACGTATATTTAAATTTTCTAATTTCAATTCAATAATGTGTTTTCTGCTAAAAACACTTGAAGCTTTACTTTAGTGGTTACATAGTAATCATTCACAGACTTTCAAGCTAATCCAAAAGATTGTCGTAAACGTTGAGGTTTACAGGTAAACAAAACTATTTTACTTTGACTACTTCAACTTTGATTCTTACAATATTAGGTATATAGGTACATTTATTTCTATTTCGTATACTATTAAGACTTTTTAGCTAACTTTGTAAAGCTTTTAAAAATAAACTGTTTATTATTAACAAAGGATTTTTCTATTCCAATACCAAGAAACCTCCAGTGATTCCATGCGTCATAATTAAACATTGAGTCACAAGTACGTACCTAGTGCTTTTAACACAACATGACGCACACAACTTCTACAAACTTGAGTCTCCACTGCTGTTACACATCTACGGAAACGCTTTTTCTCTATTACTAGTAAAAATATCAACTTAAAATTACAAATAATCGAATTTAAAAATCAATGAGAAATTATATTTACACAGTTCACTAGTTGACACGGCTTTTGTTGTCTGAAGATTGCACTTGAAATATTAAAATTTTAATGATGATACAAACATGTCGGTTTTTAATAAGCCTGCGATTACAGCCTTATAAATGACTAGCTGTTCCCGTGCGACTTCATCCGCATGAAATTATGAAAATGTTGTTTTATTGTTTACATTTGTCAAATTTTCAATTGCAAATGTTAAACTACCAATTACCTTACTATGGCAATCTTGATTCTTGATGTTCAGCTCGTATCGTATCGTATTTCCCGCATTAGGGATTTTTATCCAAAACATTTACCCCCTAAGTTTAATGGCGTGAAAATATATAGCCTAAAGCGTGACGTAAGTATAGGGCTTTTTATTAAAAAAAAGAATTATTAAAAAATATGTTGTAATTGCTGATATCTTAGGCAACAAAGAAGTGTGTGTTTACGCTTTATTATAATAGTATAGATAGATTTACAAACCAAACTTAATTTCTTTAGATCAGTTTATCATTTCAATTGAAGTTGACTACACACAACTCTATTTAATATAAAATATTGTACCTTATTATACAATGTGCGGATAGTTGCAATTAATTTTAATTAAGTAAATCTTAGTATTCAATTGTATTTAGCAACAGATACCAAGTTGCCGCCTTTAGCAGGAAAAGGGCGTCGCAAAACTGAAGGAAATTGCTAAAGTTATATCCGACAGCCGGCGGCGATCTCTTTTACTGCAGTTTGACTTTTCACAATTGCAAACGACGCTACGAATTGAATTTGAAATGAATACTATATATTATTAGTTAAATAATAAGCAAGAAATAATATTTAAAGAAGCGCTTCTGACATAACCTATTCCCTTTTATAAAAATCATTATTGTTCTACGTATGTGTTAGTTTAACCAACAAACTAAATTTTAAAATTATACAGATGTGTGTCTATGTTTTTTTCAGGGTAGGTAATCACTAAAACGGCTATACGGATTTTGACGGGACTTTTATTAGAAGGTAACTTATGTATGTTAGAGTAACATAAGCTCTTTAAACTATTACAAAACGGAAGAGGATCTGAATAACATAGTTTTTTTTACTCTGCGCTAACAATGACGCTAACGCTAGTTGTACAAATTATAATTAATCTTATGGTATTTAATTTGAAGATTTATCTGAAGTAACTTATTCACGTTTCAAATATCACTAGTATTATCATATTAAGATTGTAAATGCGAAAGTTTAGATGTTGGTATGAATATTTGTTAAGAGTTTGTAGCCTAAACTGCTGAAGGGATTTGGATGATATTCAGTATATACGTTTAGGATAGTCTGGAAGAACGCATAGGCTACTTACTTTTTTTTTTAATTCCACGCGCACGGAGTGGCGGGCGAAAGCTAGTATTTTTATAATTCAGAATAGGTATGTAAACATTTTTTTATAATTATTGGAATTGAC